GGAAAAACACACTATGCAAGTCAATAGGGACCAGCAACTGAAGGTGAACTATCCCTTTAAAAGATATGAATGGTTGATGTGTGAGAATCGCATCAAAATCAGAAATGGTAGTTGTGCACCTATAAAAGCTGTTTAAAGCAAATAGTTGTGTACCTTGATTACGATTGGCCGAGCTGCACTCTATTACATTCATTCCCAGTGGATGCAAAGCTATCATATCTTTGAATAATCCCGGGATAAGGGGTCTGTTTAGACACACCACAAAGAAACCCACAGTGGAGCCTGAGGAACAGTGCTAAATATACATATTCCACTGGGATGCAGTGTGTATTTTCCTCTGCTGAAGTGGGCAACCACACAAAACCTTCCTTTGAGATGAACATCACTGTAAGTAATGAGAATTTGCTCAACATGAAAGGGATTGTTCAGCCAGAGGTCATCATTACTCGCCCGCATGTCGTACTAAACCTGTGATAAACACACTTTGGAGATGACATTTCTGAAACTTGTATTTTTTTTGTCGATGAAGATTAAAGAAACATTGGCTTGTTTAAAGCTGCTGTGCAAAACTATTTTGTCATCATGCATTTGATAAATAAACATCTGCCTGGAAACTCGAGTAGTTTTTTTAATTTCAGTAAACAGCAACATTATACAGTTTACATAATTATTAACTTCATACAATAAGGTATGCATACAACTGTTTATAAAGCAAAAACCTAAAGGAAAAGCAAAAAAGTGAAAGTATTAAAATTATTCACATGCACAAGCACATCCATGACAGTGCACTGTGCTCAACTCTACTCCTCCACCTATGTTTGTGAGCTGACGGTGTTACTGTTTTCATTGCAAACCCTTGCGGAGATGGTTTATCTATTGCAGGACTGCTGAGAGTCTGTTCCTCCTCCACCACACGTCTCTCTGCATGTATACGAGACACCCAAAATATTTAATTCTGCAAAAAAAGTGAGCTCAACGTAGCTTGCTTTCATTGCAAACATTTATTACAATTTCTGACGGAAACAACTGTATCTGTCGTAGATGGAACAGCTCATGGAATGATGATGACACACGGAAGGACAGTACAGAAAATAAAATGCATTTATGTGCCATTCCACTGCGACTCCAAAGAAGACAGCGCCCTTGGCATCTCATCCCGTTCTAGATGTTTTTACACTATGTTATGTGTTTATTATAAAAAAAAACACTAATAAAAATCAATAATCATGGAAGAAGGCATGCATAATGTTTTTTTCATCTCAAATTAAGAGCTATTCAAGGACAGCTTAAAGAAAATCCATATAAATGACATTTTGTCCCCGTCATTGATTAACTGCTGTCGTGTCTGTCCAGCTACCCGACAGCTTTAAGCGGCACGCTCGTGTGTGTGCACTTTTCACCATCACGTTACTAGTCATTAGCAGTTAAATAGAATAATAATCTGTGTTTGTGTGCAAGGCATGCTTCTCTCTTGTAATGATCCTCGCCCATTACTCTGAGGTTTACAAATCATATTAAAAAAGAAAAACAACAATTGGTCTCGATCGGTTTACAGTAGCTTTGGGAATGAGTTTCTGAATGTGGCAGTACAATGGTTTTAATTTTTTGGGGACAACAGAAAACATATGCAATTGAACACGGCCACTTCAGCAGACGGTCACGACTTCGTGTTAAAGCCCGAGGACCGCGGCCTCATGACAGGAAATGAAACACTGGAGAGAAGTCAAAGCACTTCCTGTTTGAAGTATGTGACGTGAAGCG